ACCCCAAGGTTCTCAAGGAACTGGCAGATGTGATCTCAGAACCACTGAACTATATTTTTCAAAGATCCTGGAGCACCGGGGAACTACCAGAGGACTGGAAAAGAGCTGATGTAGTTCCCATCTTCAAAAAAAGGGAAAAAAATAGATCCAGGAAATTACAAACCTATCAGCCTGACCTCAATACCTGGGAAGATTCGGGAAAAGATAATCAAACAACGAAACAGCGAACAGAGGCAAATAAAGTCATTACTAAAAGCCAACATGGGTTTGTCAAAAACAGATCATGCCAGACAAATCTTATTGCATTCTTTGACCAAGTGACAAAATTAGTGGTCTAGAGGAATGCTGTGGATATAATTTACTTGGACTTCAGTAAGGCATTTGATAAAGTAGATCACAACCTACTACTTGATAAGATAGAAAAATCTGGGTTAGACAGCATCACCACCAGATGGATTCGTAGCTGGCTGACCGGCTGTACTCAGCATGTGGTCCTCAATGGAACTGCATCTACATGGAGGGGAGTGTGTAGTGGGGTGCCCCAGGGCTCTGTTCTGGGCCCAGTGCTCTTTAACATCTTCATCAACGATTTGGACGAGGGGATAGATGGGGAACTCATTAGTTTTGCAGATATCACCAAGCTGGCAGGAATAGCCAACATTCCAGAAGATAGGCTTAAGATACAGGAGGATCTGGACAGACTTGAACACTGGGCAGTATCTACCAAAATGAAAGTCAATAGTGAAAAAAGTATGGTTCTACATTTAGGCAAGAAAAACCAAATGTACATGTATAGTATAGATGGTACCTTGCTCAATAGTAACTGTGAGAGGGATCTCGGAGTCCTAGTGGACAATCACTTAGATATGAGCCAGCAGTGTGCTGCAGCTGCCAAAAAAGCCAACACAATGTTAGGCTGCATTAACAGAGGGATAGAATCAAGATCACGTGAAGTGTTAATACCACTTTACAATGCCTTGGTAAAGCCACACTTGGAATACTGCATCTAGTTTTGGTCACCACGATGTAAAAAGGATGTTGAGACTCTAGAAAGAGTACAGAGAAGAGCAACAAAGATGATTAGGAGACTGGAGGCTAAAACATATAAGGAACGGTTGCTGGAATTGGGTATGTCTAGTTTAATTAAGAGAAGGACGAGGGGGGACATGATAGCAGTGTTCCAATATCTCAGGAGCTGCCACAAAGATGAGGGAGTCAAGCTATTTTCCAAAGTGCCTGAAGGCAGGACAAGAAGCAACGGATGGAAACTAATCAAGGAGAGAAGCAACCTAGAACTAAGGAGAAACTTCCTGACAGTTAGAACAATTAATCAGTGGAACAACCTGCCTCCAGAAGCAGTGAATGCTCCAACACTGGAAGTTCTTAAGAAGAGACTGGACAGCCATTTGTCTGAAATGGTATAGGGTTTTCTGCCTGAGCAGGGGTTGGACTGGATGACCTTCAAGGTCCCTTCCAACTTTATTATTATTATTATTATTATTATTATTATTATTATTATTATTATTATTATTATTATAAATATTGTTGCCAGACCACTGGATTTGGTATTAGTTCTTCAGTACAAGTTGGAGTTCAGAAATGTTAACATTTACTCCAGGGTCTAAGTGACATAGCAATAACACTGGCTCCCATTATTCTAGGGGAATCAATGTTCCATTTATTAAAATGTTTGTTCACTCTCCACACTCTCTATCAAAGGCCACCCTGGTTAGCAGTGATTGATTACTGCATGCTTGAGTTGATGGATTTCCTGAAGTTGCCTGTATAGGTTGTCATTGAATCACTGGAGTTTGTTCTTCTGGAGGTTTTAAGTGAAGAAACCAGCAGAAAACCTCCAATCTTCAATGCCTTTTGTTTGATTAGTAGAAAAGATACAACAAACACACCCTATTTGCTCTTTCAGTCTAGGCAGAAAAGAATGCCAGCAGCAGCCATGGAACCTTAGATACTTGAGAGGGTATGTTTCATAAAGAGGCACATAACATACTGTCTTTCAAATTGCAGCAGCTAGAATTTTACTGCCTTCTCTATCCTTCTCACTTTACATGTTCTTAGAAGAAAGAAGCTTCAGATCATGGTTTGCGTGTGAGTTCCCAGTCCTATTACTGCAGGATCAGATCTGGTCAAGGCATAAGAATTGTGCCTTGTGGTAAGAGGGGTTGCCAATAAATTTTATAAACAAACAAACTGGGGCCTGGGTTGCCTGACTACAAGTGAATGATACTAAGCTGGCAGGAATAGCCAACACCCTAGATGATAGGCTCAAGATCCAGATGGATCTTGACAAATTTGAACATTGGTCCCTATCTAACAATAAGAAAATCAATGTAGAGAAAAGTAAAGTGTTACACTTAGGCAAGAAAAACCAAAAGTACACATATAGATTGGGTGAAACCAGACTTAATAGCAGCAACTGCGAGAGGGATCTTGGAGTCTTAGTGGACAATCAATTAAATATGAGCCAACAGTATGTGGCAGCAGCCAAAAAAACCAATGCAATCCTAAGTTGCATTAACAGAGGGATTCAATCAAGATCACGTGAAGTACTAATACACTCTATAAAGCCTTAGTAAGACCACGCCTAGAATACTGCATCCAGTTTTGATCTCCACACTATAAAAAAGGTATTGAAACTCTAGAAAGAGTGCAAAGAAGAGCAACAAAGATGATGGGGACTAGAGGCTAAAATATATGAAGAACGGTTACAGAAACTGGGCATGGCTAATCTAGTGAAGAGAAGGACTAGGGGAGACATGATAGCAGTGTTCCAATATCTGAGGGGCTGTCACAGAGAGGAGGGTGGTTAACCTATTTTCCAAAGCACCTGAAGGCCAGACAAGGAATAACGGATGGAAACTGATCAAGGAGAGATTCAATCTAGAAATAAGGAGAAATTTTCTGACAGTGAGAACAATCAATCAATGGAACAGAGTGCCATTAGTGCTTCATTACTGGAGGATTTCAAGAAGGGATTGGAGTGCCATCTGTCAGAAATGGTTAGGGATTCTTGCTTGGGCAGGGGGCGGGTTGTGCAAGATCCCTTCCAACTCTGATATTCTATGATTTATTTGTTTAATGTTAAAATATATATGTTGTTATTTCTGGTAACCCTTAATAAATTAAAACTGAATGATGAGGCTTTATAATGGTTGAAACATTAGAGAAGGAGTAAATTACTGAAATTGTAATTGTTTTGTATATATACTTCCTTTGTCCTTTTTTCTCTGCACTTTTTTTTTACTTTTTATATTTGTCTTACTTAGTTTTTATCTTTGTATTTTTAACCTATAATGAAAAATAACATTATGAAAAGTAGCATTATGTACGTGCTTCCCATACTGGAGCTAAAAGAAATATCAAACATCATAATACTTGCAAGGTACAGCTTTCAGAGGGGGAAATCATTGGAGATGCCTAATCATTGTGTAATAAACTTTACTTGCACCTTTATATGGGCTGAGCAATGAAGTATGTGTCTTCAGCTTTACTGAACTCAGCTTGCTGGAAGAGTCTGCAATATTCATCATTTGTTCTCTGCCTTCCAATCCCAGTCACAGCAAAGATGGCCCTTGGGGTACAAAAAGTCTTGACTACTGGAGGGAAGAAAGATAAGTCACCTCCACCAGTTCCCTCAAGACACATTTTGTTCCTTGTGATGAACAGGGAATGCTTTTCATGACAAGTCACAATTCATAGTACCTAATGGCAGCCAAAGTATTACAGCACAGGAGACAGAAAGTCCCATAGATGTCTCTCCGCCCCCCTGGCAGTAAATTTTTTTTCATGAAGCTCATGGTATGCCAGTTGAAATATCTGCCTGATTCTGTTTATTGCACCGACCAAAGGACCACTGAAGACCTTCCATATTTCCAAGGTCTGTCTTGTGTGTGTGTGTGTGTGTGTGTGTGTGTGTGTGTGTGTGTGTGTGTGTGTCTTCAAATCAGTGTTAACTCCTAGTGACCACCTGAACCTGTCACTACAGTCTTCTTGGCAAGAAGGGCTGAAAGAGATTGATCAGCCCAAGGTCACCCAGCAGGCTTTGTGCCTGAGGCAGGGCTAGAACTCACTGACTCCTGGTTTCTAGCCTGATGCTTTAACCAGGATATATGCATTCCACCCCCACCCCCACTTCTCTCCATTTCCAAAACAGGAAAAGAAATCTACCAGGTGAAACTAAAAACCCTAGTGATCCCCCATCCATTAACGGTGCTGCTGCTATTTTTTAAACTCCACAATAAATATTTTACAGACTAATGATAACAGAAAAACTCTGAGCCAGAAGGAAGGTTTGTGCCTGATTGGAAAGGAGGAAAGGAGAGCTGGTTTGAAAACTGACCATCCCCTCCTTCCTCAGGCTGGCTGCGGTTATTGTCTTGACTTGAATTTAATGGATTATCAGTGTCTTCAGTTCTCCTGAGCTTTGCAAGTTAGTAATGTACAAGTGGGTCTCCTGCGAAGGTTACAATAAAAAAAAAATGTGAGAAGGTTACAATAAAAAAAAAATGTGAGCGAGGCCTGGCAACAGAAAAGGCTTCTTAAGGTGTTTTTCCAAAAGGCCCAGGCTCAAATGATCCTGCAACCTCACTGGCTTGTTTGCCATGATAGCTTTTTATACTGAGTGTGAGGTGGCACTAAAATTCATATAGAATATTAGAAGTCGCAGCCTCACCAGGTTTGAACACCTCTAGTAGACTGTTGTGGTATAAAGAAGATATAGCTATATTTACTTTACTTTTTTTTCTTATCTCCTGTCATAATTTTTTTTAGCTGACTCATTCTGACGCCTTTTCTGTGCTTTAAATATCAAGCCATAGGGGAAGTACACAATGAATATAGAATATAAATAGACATGGTTCTGTTGTCATGTCAAAATCACTTCTTTGTCCTTGAATATTTTACAAATGAACTTGTTATGTATGTGTGTAGTAGGGGCAGAGAGCTGGCAAAGCAGCATTTGCTGCTCTGCTTAACTGAAAGCAAGTTCCCAAAATAATTATTGCCTACATGATTTGAGGCAAGAGAAGAAATTACCATGTAATACTTGCTTATTTTACCTCCTCCTACAGAACTTCTAATTAATATTAATATAATTTTGTGTTGTTGAGAAATTACTGCTTTTCTTAAGGGACACACTTACAATTAAAAAGTCTAGGTATCTCCAGGCTATCTTCTCCAACCAACATTGACATGTTTGAGATATTCATCCCAGGAGAAACTAAAGGTTTATGTTCAAATTTGAGCAAAAGCATTGCTCTTCATAGATGGCACCAATTCTTTGGACCAACTTCTCTTGGCAGGTGAGCCTAGCTGAGTTGCAAATAACTTTCAGTCAAAATGGAATTGTTGAACAGAGATGTCACCAGCTATTATTGTGATCTTTTTCTTGTTTCATGGATGTTTTAGTTGCTGTATCTGTGCTTCATTCTGCAAAATCCCAAGAGTCACCACAATGTGCATTTTATAAATTTTATTCTTTTTTAAATTAAATTTCATTAAAAATTTTTACAAAGTACAGAAAAACTAACACAAACTAGTAAAGAGTAAAAGCAGCAAAGAAAGTAAAGAAGAAAGAAAAAAGAAAAAGAAAGAAAGAAAGAATAAAAAGAAACAGAAAGAAGCTTCCAATTTTCTTGCATCTAAATTACAAAGCCATCTGTTATTCTATTCTAAAAATACTGACTCTTTTTCTATTATTCAGGTTTTTTTTTCCTAATCATTAAAATCACAAATCATAAGTGGTCAGCCATAGATGTAGATATTGTTCCTTGTCTTATTACAAAATTTAATTTAGTGATCTCCACAGGTTCCATCATCTTCACCAACTATTTTAATAATAAAAAAATAATGTGGTGATTCTTGATTAATATATATCCACTGAACAGTGGTTATACTTGGAAAAACATATGAGTAATGGCCCAGTTAAGGGACAATATCTAGAGTAAATTCTTAGCAAAATTGAAATATGTGGGAAAAGTAATTTCTGTTCTTGTTTGAACTAGAATAGAATAGAATAGAATAGAATTAAGCAGATCATCTTAGTTGCTCTCCTCTGAATTTTTTCCAAACTCTCAACATCTTTTTTGTGATTTGCCTTCATACAATGTGGTTGTATTTGTGTTTTTTTAAAATAAAATTTACAGATTGCAATCCAGAGACTTCTTTTTAACCTAATGGACAAGCTATTATTAAATAAGTAATGGAACTTTCTTTTTATATATGAAACTGCAGCAAGACTATTGTATGCTCAAAAGTGGAAAGGTTTGACACCCAGCACAATGGAAGGGTTCTATGACAATTCTCTGTGGCCAGCTCGCCATGTCCAACTCGCTGCAGGACAAGACTTACACTGATATGAAAGAAATGGTAGAATAGACTCATTAAAGAAAGGATGCAAAAGGAGGGACAGAATGAAATGTGAACAACAAAAAATAAAATAAATGTTTATTTATTTTAAATAATTAAATTGAATTGTTAAATTATCTTGCAGCAAGTTGTCCCGCGGTGAGTTGGTCATGATAAGTTGGCTGCGACGAGTTGGCTGTGGTAAGTTGTCCCATTCCCCACCCCCCTCTCCCTCCCTCCCTCCCTCTTTCTCTCCCTCCCTCCCCCCCTCTCCCTCCCTCCCTCTTTCTCTCTCTGTCTTTCTCTCTCTCTCTCTCCCTTTTTCTCTCTCTCTTTCTTTCTCTCTCTCTCTCTCCCTCCCTCCCCCCCTCTCTCTATGTCATTCTCAGTCACATTTCTGCTTAGTGACCATTTCAGTTAACAACCTGGTCCTTAGAATGGAACTTGGTTACTGAATGAAGAGTGGATACAATTCAATACATTATCACATCCTAATGCATTTTGTTGCCATTTCTGAAGTGGGTGGAATTTGAAAATATTAGCATCTGTTTATAATTTGACGGCTTTCTTCTTATGACATACAAGCAAATTCTCTAAATTTAGCAAACTGACAACAAAGTGAAGCAAGTGAAGCTGTGACTGTGCTTGTTACTTACTTAGTTGCTTACTTCAGCTTTCCTTTCCTTTACAGACCTGTGAAGATCATAAATTCAAGGTTCGGTTGTAAAGTTATTTTTTCATCACCATCATAATTGTGATTAACCAAGACGGTTGCTAAATAAGGTCTACGTGTATTGTGAGGGACTCAACCTTATTCTGGCAGTCATGCTAATAGCTTTTAAGACTAAACAAATCCTATGCAAGCATGCACAAGTTTGTAAAAATATATGAAAACTCATTCTGGATATAGCTGAAGATCCATTTAACCTCACTTTTTGGTCAACTAGATAAATTCTTAGCCATTTGCAAAATGGATATGATAATCCACCACTGATTGTCACTGGCAGTTGTCTGAGGGCTGAATCCTCAGATTAAGAACAGGCTCCAAATCAACTGCTTTCTTAAAACAAGTAAGTCTTACAATTGGAGACAAGATGCAATCAAAACAAAGTCTCCTCTGTGTTGGAGTTTGTGTATATTAGAGGGTTTAGCAATTGCTGACTACTTCAAAAAAAATAAATAAAACAAAGTATTTGGTTGGGGAATATTGCTGAAGCAAGCAGGAATCTATCTCTTTGGCTTTGAGCAATTCAGTTAGTTGGTGGAGCTTGGAAAGATCTAACATGCCAGACAGGAAAATAATAGTTCTTAGATTGTATCGCTTCCAAAACTCTTTGTTGGTTTGACTTAAATATTTAGTCACTTCTGAAAACTAGGTGGAATACTAGTTTACTAGTTAGAAAGTAAGATAACCTACAATTCTATTAAAATTATACCCGAATTACCTATTCCACTTTACCAAAGACAAATTGAAATTTACAAATTGAATACTCCAATATAATAACATGACAAACAGGCTTTAGAGTGCTAGAGATGTAATCTTTCTTCCCAAACCTGGGATGAAATCCTCCCATCCATTCTCAAGAATTAAAAATACACCGGGGAATACTTTGGTGATACTACAGAAGTTCTGGTAGCCAGTTGTCTTATTGCATGAATGATGAATTTTATTCATTGGAATCCTGGAGCTGCCAGGAAACTCCAGCTTCCATCTACTGCAAGCCTTTCAATATCCAGTTGGAATGACAAAAAAACAAAAACCCCTTCCCAATTTTGCTCAATGAGAATGTGTTTTGACATAGTATAACAGCTAAACATTCAGACATCCAATTATAAATTTGACCATCTGTCAAAATCATAATTATTGTTGCCGTATTAATGAACTTAGAATACAATAAGCTGTACAGCTCTTCCCTTGCAATGTGATTTGCATCATGTGGCAAGAACTGGAGTGTGGAATTCCTGACACAGTTCTGCTTTTCCTTATTCTTTCTTGCCTGTCTCTTTCCTTATTGGCACGAACGGGAGCTCTTACTCTCTAAAAGAAGGTCAGCTGTAGTGGGTGCATGGGTGGGAATTTCTCTTAGTTCTACAGCAGGGGTCTTCAAACATGCTGGCTGAGGAATTCTGGGAGCTGAAGTCCCCAAGTCTTAAAGCAGCCAAGTTTGGAGACCCTTGTTCTACAGCAATGCATGACTACAGCCTCAAATTCAGCTGCCCATGTCCTCCATATATGGACAATGTCTCCATCATCTTGAGAAAATATGTATACAAAGTGCTGCACAGAGAGAGACACCCATAGCACTCTTGATGATGGAGGAAAACCACAGGGAGACCAGTGACACAAAGATAATAATCCCCTTTCCACCAGAAAGCTTGAGGAGGTCAGATGACTTTCCTTCCTCAATGTTATGGTGTCTATTTCCTTAAATTGATAACAGTGCTTTGTCAGTTGAAGACCAGATAAAAAGCAAAAAAGGTAAGTAGAATGAACCAACAGCCCAGATAGAATTATGATATGATTGCATATAATAGAGATGTTGGGAACGTTGGACATAAGGGCTCCTTTCTTTCTTCCCAACTTTTATATTATATTTTATAATCTAACCCATGCATTCAGACTTTAACTTCCATAATCACCAAACAGAATTTTTTTTCTGGGAGTAAGAGTGGTCTGGGAATTACTGTCTCAACAAATGTGCAAGTGTAATACGAGATCTGCTGCTGCTGATGTGATGAATACACTGGTGGGAAACCTTATATGTACCACCAGAATATCCCAGATAAGATAGTAGCTGGGAAACCTATGACAGTGAAAGGACTAAGATGTAGCATACTGATTATTGGCGTGGGGGGAGAACACAATGCACTATATCTATACAGTTTCAGTTGTCCTCTGTTCTGTTGGCAGCAGCAAAAATGCAATTATAAAAATCTATTTTCAAAACAGAATTATTCACAACTAAAAAGAGACATGGAAAAGTAGTTAATAAATCAGTTCATAAGTCAAAAGCAAAACCAGTTCAAACCAAGTTAAGGTTCAGAGGGCAAGACAAGAGAATGTAGGCTGCAGCCCAAGCAATAAAGAACCAGTATCACCAGGGAGGTATGTCAGGCAACCAGGATTTCCAGTAATTGGACCAATCATTTTAAGACATTGCTCCTGGCTATTAGTTACTTTCAGATAGAAGGCTTTATATTATATGTTATTAGGCTGTAGACTAATAACAGGGCAAGATCCAGGGGTAGCTTGGGGTTTCCAGAGGTAAAACCTCCACCTGGAAATGGTTGAAGATGTTCTAGACATGGAGTTCCAGATTAAATAAATCTGTTTCGGGGTTCGTTGACCTCCAGAACATCTCATTAGGGCTGAACTGCCTCCAAGAGATGTCATAGTCCAGGAAGTTCAATAGGTTCTAGAACATTCCAGACTTCTCCAGAACATCCTATATTCAAATTAACTAATTTTGCATATCCCTCACTGTGATTAATGACACAGTCTTATTAGAGAGCTTCCCTAGCTCTTTGATAATTATGGATAGACCAATAATCATTACAATGTGCCCGCTGTCCACAGTAATTAATAATTATTTCAAAGAAAAGGACTTCTACTAAGATGAATAACATCTTCTACAGTAGTGTTCAGCATTTTGGCGACCCTTTTCAGCAGTGGAAAAAAGGGATATTAAGCGACACCATTTCTTTCTTTGCTGCATAATTTAAAAAATAACCCACATATTAATTGTTAAAATAATAGGATGTAAAAATATCACTGTCTCTTTTTTCTTCTCTTCTTTTACTTTCTCCAACTAATACCTGCCTCCCTGTTCTAATACCTCAGTTTCTAAGTTCTCTGGGAAATGTAGCTGCTTGCCAATTACAAAGAAACTGCCACCTCTTCTCTTGCATAATAGAATAACAAATTAGCCTTTCCTTATAATCTTTTCCTTTGCTATAAGGAAGGAATTCAGTGGTGTCAAGTGTATATTTAGATTACTTTCTAAACAAATAGAAGTCTAATTGACAAGAACTCTAATTATGTGATGAGGAAGGAGCCATGTCAGTCAGAAGAGAAAGTCATAAGTTTTGTTTACTTTCCCCCCAAATTGATGGTTTTTAGCAGGCATTTCACAAAAAGCTTAGTTTTGCATGGGAAAACTCACATTTATTCCTTGGATTATTTCTGCAGCATGCTCCAAAACAGATTTTGCTAATGTTTGTCCTGATGTGACCCAGAACCAAACCCAAGGGCAATGACACTAAACTACATTTTGTCTCTCTCTCTCTCTCTCTCTCTCTCTCTCTCTCTCTCTCTCTCTCTCTCTCTCTCTCTCTCTCTCTCAAAAAAAAAAAGACTGGAATGTGACTCAACCCAGCCAGCTTGTCACAGATACACCATGAAAATATGGTCAGAACATTCAGAGATGGAATTATCTCCTAAACATGTAAGAATATAAGTAGGCCTTGCTGGATCAGACCCCGGGCCCATCTACTCCAGCAGCCAGGGGTCTAATCCAGCAGGGCCACAAGGAAGCCCAATTGCTTCCCAGCAGATGGCTTTCAGAGACAGTCACATGACCAACGAGGCTAATAGTAATTGATTCTCATTCTTTCCATTAATTAGATTTGTCCCCTCTTGAAAGACAGCCAAACTAGCACCATGTCTGTCACTAGGATACTCTTTCCTTTTTCTTTTTCACATTTTAAAAATGTAGACAGGAAAGCTGTGGGGGGGGGGAAGGGAATTGCTAAGTACATGTGTGCATGTCATGTTTAAATGTCTAAAATAGAGTTACTATCTGTGAATTAAAAAACAAAATTTTGTATGATCAAGTTATGCACGATAACTTACCATAGATGGCAGCAAAAGGTTAGAATTATTTTATATTTTTCTGCTGCCTCCTAGTGAGCGTCTCAATTTTTGCAGCCTAGATATATGTTTAGATTTAATTGACGTGAGAGGTCAGTGGAATCATTTGATCCATCTTTTTCTGTTGGGTCTTTCTCAAAAGAGGCCATTGACAATGATGATTTTTTTAGTAGCTCTAGCTAAACCTAAGTATGAAATTCCAAAGCACAAAAGCTAAGATAGTTAAATCCTGGTATGAATATAATGGGCTATTTTTCAGGTTGAGGGAAGTTCTAATCAAGGCAGTATCAATTTTACATTCTCACATTAAGTATAGCTTGCAAAGGATTGTATGGTTTTCTATTGACCAGCCAGATATTTTTAGTGCACTTATATTAGCTCTAGCAAAGAGAACATCTGAGAATTTGTAAAAATGTAAACAAAGAGCTCCATGTGATCATGATCTGAGGTTCAAAACATCTATAGGGACAACACCTAGTTAAGCTAAAACTAAGTAGGCTTGGTTAATATTGGGGTAGAAGACTAAAGCTATAGGCTCAACAAAAAAGCTGGAAAAGAACGAAAACAAGGCAAATCCAGAAGAAAGCTAAACCCCTATATTGCTGCCAAGACCTTTACATGGACCAGTTTCTATGGTAACCAAGACTCAGGTTCATCTTGAAGGAAATTTTGCAAAATATCCAAGTGCCAAATAACTCCAAAATGTTTGCTGGGGTTTATAGAACACAAAACTATGTGCCTGCATGCAAAAAAAAAAAAAAAAAAAGCAGAGGACTATTGCAAAGGGGTTGTAGAAATTCAGTCTTGCCTTGGAAGACTGGAAAAAAGAACCTCAACCCAGTGGTGGGATTCAGCCACTTCGCACCACTTCGGCAGAACTGGTAGCTAATTTTTTGTTGCCCAGGCCCAGAATGGACTTCTGGAAGCGGCATCCACACAGAGAATCGGTTGTTCACATATCTGAATCCCGCCACTGCCTCAACCCCTACCCCAAGGGCAAGGTAAAGAGAACTTCTTTGGTTTCCTTCTAAAAGGAAGTTACTTTTAGTCCTGGCTTTTTGCCACCATCATGTG